TGGAGTTCCTGTATAATATACTGCTTCAGCATAATATGCAGGAAGTTCATACATAAGTGCATCAATCTCCAGTATATTATGCTGGACCGATCCGTGTTGCAGCAAAATAATGACTATTTTTCAATAACTTTGCAAACACTGGCTACTTTTGAACTATTAGTTCGAAAACTGGCTAACCCGTGCTATTTTTACATGGCTTGGACCTTCTGCGTTTCGGATCACAAGCCCACTTTGTAACGATAAATCTGAAAAATGTACACAAAAAGCAGTTGGTAAATATGCTCCAATCGATCTCTTCTCTTTCTCCCTTCTCTCACCAACTCTCTCTCAAGTAAGAGTGTAAGACCAATTCCTTCTTCCTACGGTTTTTATTATTTTCTTAATTTCTTTTGATATACAGTCTCAATTAATAAGAGATCTTGATTTATAAATTTCATTTACAAGTTTCTTAATTAGTTATTTTTTTAAGGCAAAAATGCAGAGCAATAATTCTACTGAAGGAGACACATTCCATATCCGCAAATTGGAGATCTCAGACAAAGAAAAAGGTTTCATTGAATTATTAAAACAATTGACTGTTTGTGATTCTGTAACAGACGAAAAATTCAAGGAAAGATTCGAAGAGATTACAAAATATGGAGATGAACATATTATTTGTGTGATTGAAGATGTTAAATCAGGAAAAATTGTTGCAACAGGAAGTGTATTTATTGAGAAAAAATTCGTAAGAAATTGTGGAAAAGCTGGTCATATTGAGGATGTTGTTGTTGATTCAAGTACACGTGGCATGCAATTAGGTAAAAAAATTGTTGAGTATCTTGCTAATCATGCTTATTCTATGGGGTGTTATAAGGTAATACTTGATTGTACGGAAGGGAATAGAGCTTTTTATGAGAAATGTGGTTTCAAGAAAAAAGAGATTCAAATGGTTAAGTATTTTGTTTGATGAATGTTTGTGTTGGCCGCGGAGTCAGGATTTTGAGTATATGGGTTTTGGTATCTAAAACAGGATAGGTGATATAGAGCTACTGGGTTCTGTCGAACTTGTAGCTAGACTTGTAATCTTGGAAGATTGTTAGTCCTCGTTTTGTTTCTTGTAATGAGTTTATTCAAAAGAGATTTACATGGTTAAGTATTTTGTTTGATGAATATTTATATTAGTGGCGGAATCGGGATTTTAAGTATATGAGTTCTGAAATCCATGACAGAATGAATAATATAGAGGTTCTATCGAATCCGTAGCTAGACTTGTAGCTCCGCCGCTACCGTTAGTTGGTTTACTGTGATTTTTGGCATTAATCTTGGACGATTGTTGTTCCTCAGTTTATTAAAAAGAGATTCACATGTTTGAGTATTTTGTTTGATGAATATTTGTGTTAGTTGCCTTTTTGACATTAATCTTGTAAGATTTTTGTTCCCTGTTTCCTTTTTTTTTT